AATTGATATGGCATAATTGCACCTTATATTTATGTAAACAAGTTGATCTAGATCATGAGAAGCTTGCTTCTGTGTTGTTTTCTTTGCTTGTTTCTTTTTACATATTAAATTGCAAATGATTTTCAACTGTCAAAATAGTAAAAAGCATTGTTAGCATTTTTTGTTATTAAGTTTAAGAACAATAAAAGTTTCATATGTGAATTTTTGAAATTTCAATTAGCTAAAATTAATTTACTGGTTAGTAATTCAAAAATGTAGAAAGTATTTATAAAATTTAAAAAGAATTATAAGTGAATTTAAGCCATATCAAATATTATATTGATGAATAATAGACTGAAGTACACCGCTGGACGCCTCATCAGATAACTGTGTGCTTATATTATTTAACAATTTGACATCATGTTTTGTCTTCCCTAGATTTTTGGTGTGAGATCAGCAGTTGCTCGTTCGTTTGGATACCTTCGAATTGCGTCCGAAATGATTGATACTGCTAACTGATGAAATTGGTACCTGTATAGGCCTTTTTGATGCTGTCAATTGTTGTTTTGTTGCTTGTTTGGGTTGTACTGGTGGGATCTTGTCATCTTCACTATCGTTGGTTTCACAAAAAAGTGGAGCCAAATTATGTAGGCACGTTTCAAAATACCTGATGCTGTTTTAACATCGATCACACGTACCATTCCGGAACTACATATGTTGGTTACTCGACCCAATGACCACTGAAGAGGAGGTAAATTTCCATCCTTCATTAAAACTAAGGTGTTTTCCTGCAAGTTATTGCATTGTTCTCGCCATTTATGTCGGTATTGTAGCTCCGTTAGATATTCAGAGTTCCACCGTCTCCAGAACTCATGTTTTATGTGGGAGACCAATTTCCATCTTGTTAATAATGATGTTTTTATCTTTGGTGTGCTTGTACTTGCTGGTGCTGTAACGGCTTAACCAATTAGAAAGTGGCCTGGCGTAAGTGCTTCAAAGTCATTTGGATCATTCGACATTGGAGTAATCGGTCTTGAATTTAATATTGACTCTATTTCAATAACAACTGTTTCTAGCTCTGTGTACGTTAAGGATTCTGTGCCAACGCTGCGCACAAGCAGATGTTTCGCCAATTCCACTGCTGGTTCCCAGAGTCCTCCGAAGTGAGGCGTACAAGGAGGAATGAAGTTGAATTAAATACCTTTTTTACTGCACGCTCTTTCAATTACTTGTCCTGATTTGTTTGAGTAAATGAGTTCTTCTAGCTCATTCAGTTTATTATTGGCTCCAATAAAATTAATTGCATTGTCACAAAATATATTTTGGCAATGTCCACGCCTCGCAACAAAACGTTTAACTGATCCAATAAATGTGTCGGTAGTTAGGTCACTTACTAGCTCCAAATGTACTACTTTGGTGGCGAAACAACAGAAAACAGCAATATATGCCTTGTGCGGTCACTTCCTTCTTACCTTGTAATGTACCAGAAATGGTCCACAAAAAGCCTGTATTAAGGAATGGTCTGGCAGATTGTACTCGAGTACTTGAAAGATTCCCATAATTTGGTTAAATGTTGTAGGCTTACACCTAGTACAGCGAACACAGTGTTGAACAATTGAGCGCGCCATTATTTTTCCCTTGACCGGCCAGAATTTCTGTCGAGTTGTTGCCAACAATGCTTGTCCACCACAATGCATGTTTGTTTCATGAATATTTTTCATTATTAGTTTCACAATTTGGTCGTTGTATGGAAGAAGAATTTGATGCTTAGCATTATATGGCAATTTTGATGCATCTATTCTGCCTCCAACCCGAATGATGTTGTCTTCATCTAAAAATGGAGTAAATGCAGCTAATGCGCTCGATGCCTTTACATGGTTGCGATGCCTTAATTCCCTTTTGTGTTGTTTGAATTCAGCTTCCTGAATGCACCTTACTTTGTGAGCCTCTGAATCGAGTTCTATTGAATGAATCTCGCCCTCGAAGTTGTCTGGTCCGGTTTATGAAGCGCAGCACATAGCCTATAATATGTAACAAGGTGTCGAAGGAATTTCTGTTGTTTATTGTATACACCCAGTCGGCACTACAACTAGTTACAGTTAATGCTACCTGTCGTAAAGTAGCCTTCAATTCTGCGTTATCTGGAAGACTGCACAACATTTTTTGAATTCTCCTGGCCACAGTTCCTCGGACCCATGTACAAACATTGGGCCATAAAACCATAAGTGATTAGTTTGTAACTGGGAAGGTTTAATGCCACGTGATAATGCATCTGCAGGGTTGTGTCGTGAACTCACATGTCGCCATTGGCTTGGTACTGAAATGTCTTGAATTGCAGCAATTCTGTTTGATATAAATTGTTGATGCTTTGCTGGCCCCGAATTTATCCAATGCAGTACAATTTCCGAATCGGTCCAATTATATGTTGGCACCTTATAGTTCAAGTCATCTTTTACTCTTTTCACTAGTGTTGCTCCAAGAAAAGCCGCACACAACTTTAAGCACGGAATAGTTTGTGTTTTTAAGGGTGCAACGCGTGATTTGGAACATAAAAGCGATTAATCAGACGTCCATCTTTCAATTTTGCCATCTGCTGTCCAAATATATGCCTTTCAATTTGAAACCGATGAAGTGATCTTAATTCGTCGCAAAAACTGATCCACCTACTTCACTTGGTACCGCTTCATCCCACGTTAGTTTGAGTTGCCATAAGTCCTGAATCAGTACCTTGGCGGTTACTAAAACTGGACCCAGGATGCCAATGGGATTAAATATTTTAGCTACATTTGAAGTAATTGATCGTTAAGTCACCCACTTCGCTGGATGTAGATCCACTTTAATACTGGATTTGTCAATTTTCAATATTAATACAAAATTATTCTTTTCTCTTATCAAAAAAAAAAAAACAAAATGCACCAAATTCTTGGATTATAGATTCATAAAGATATCAATAAAAAAAGTTCATAATTATAACAAATGTGTATAGCAAAGCTTTCTTCTTTGTTTAAATTTATGAGTTGAAAACAAATAATATTACAACTTTAAATTTTAGTATCTTTATTGTTTTCTTTTCTTCCTTGCTAAGATAACAAAAAAAAAAACAATGACAAAAAAATAAAAAAAAAATGTATACAGTCAAACCTCTCTATAACGAAGTAGTTGGTGCCTGCAAAAAATTTCGTTATAAAAAGATCTTTGTTATAGAAATGTTGAACAAATTTTTTTTTGTTTGATTTTTTTTTTTGCATTTGACTGAAAAATATTTACGTTTTTATTTTAAAAATATATTTAATTCATGTTTATTCAAAAAAAAAAACATTAAAAACATTATTCATATATTGATTTGTATTTGGAAAAATTATTTTTATTAATTACAACATATTTAATTTATTATTATTTATAATTTAAATTTTTATGTGTTATTTTATTTTATTTGAAAGAAGTCTGTAATTTTAGTTTGTTTAGACATTTTTACTTTTTCCTTATCAAGGAACTATTCCAACAAGTTAATAGATTTAAAAATTTTTTCATCAACATCGTCACGCGATTCCGTAAATGTACATACAGTTTGTAATGCTCTACGCGTGTTTAAATACGAAGACAGTTCAATAATGTCTTGATTTTGTGCATCTTGGTTTTCTACATCTGAATATATAAATATTAAAATTATAATCTGAGATTAATTAATCTATTGCTTTTTTTAAGTATGGGCCATGATGACTGTATCTTTGTCAACATTTATATAATCGTCCAAAGATCCATCACTTATATTAACGGTGCATTACGACCATAGCTCTTTTAGGCACATATATTCTTCTGTTATAACATCTTCCTTCGTAACGACTGCAGCTCATTAGCATCAGTTTCTACAAAACCTGCTTTTTTGAAACATTTTGAAATTGTTTCAGCTTTCACATCCATGGACCAGGATTTGCTGAGTTCTCTTACTGTATCAAGTAGTGAAATCGATTCGGAAGAATCTAAAATTTTCCTTAAAATTCTTATTCGGTAATGCTGTTTCAAGTTATATATAATGCCTTGATCCATTGGCTGTAATGAAGATGTTATATTCGAAAGAAAAAAGACAAGTTTAATGTTTTTTAATTTAACTTGGATACTTTTTGTATGCGCAGGAGAGTTGTCAACGAAAAGTAAGATATTTCTCTTTTCAATTGCAAATTTATTATTCAGTTTTATAATCCAGTTCTCATATAAATCACTTGTCATCCATGCTTTTTTATTACTTTCATAACTTACTTCAAGTGATTTCAGTCCCTTAAAGGAGCGCGGGATTCTGGACTTTCCAATAACTAATAGTTTGTGAGATTGCTTACCACCATAACAGTTATGCTGTCCTTACTTTTTTTCCACTGATACATTTTTGATTTTTGAACGTAAGAATCCGAGATAGCAAAAATATGTCATTTGGATTATAGTTTTTAATTAAATCTGGAAGAATATTTTTGACCCAATTGTCTAATGTCTCTGAGTTCACGTCACTACCTTCACCGCAAACGAATTTTTCGACAATATTATGACTTTTTTTAAATTTTTCCAACTATCCATTACTTGATGCAAAGTCTGGATAACCTAATGCTTCCGCAAAATATTTAGCTTTTTCTTGCACAAGTGCCCCAGAAATGGGAATATTTTTCTGCCTTGTAGCTGTTATCCATTTAATCGTTGCATCATCTATTACTGCGTAATTACAACATCTTATATCTTTATGACTTTAACGGTCATGACTCACAATTGCTTGATCAATTGAAATTCTGAGGAAATAATTTTCTACCTCTCTCATTAAAAGCGAGAGCGCACACAATGTGTATGGGGAAACCTTTTTTATTTAAAATTGATGATGACTCATTACATATACACAATCTCAACGTATTAGTTGAGTGATAGTTATGCATTTGAATAAATTTGTTATAGAGAGGTTTTTTTGTAAGCAAAAATTTGTTTGCGTACCTGAAAAAACTTCGTTGTAGAGAGGAATTCGCTATTGAGAAGTTCGTTAATAGCTAGACTGGTGGTCTGGCTTGCTGATTACTGAGTGGGCATAGGTTCTCTAACGGGTCTTTCAAGTCAAATGTCACTTTCTTTCTTGGTCGGACGAGTTGTTCCTCTTTCATGGGTTTACCACTTACGTCCACTTCGATAAAATTAGGCTCCATAACCATAGGTTCAAAAAAGGCCGGCTTTAGTCTGTCTATTGCTAAGTTTACTGGATTTCCGCGTACGTCCACTGTAAAAAGCCTATGGTTGATTCTTTTGATTATTTTGTATGGTGCTGTGTACGGTGGTTCTAATGGTTTCCTTAGATGGTCTGTTTTTATAAATATATGAGACGCACTATCCAACGTCTTGTGAACGAAAACAGATCTGTTTGAATGATTGGAAGTTGGAGTTGGTTTAAATTGTCGTATATGCTCACATAATGTTTTCAGGAATTTTTGTTCGTCTGGAGGTCTCTGTGTTTCCACAAAGAATTCTCCCGGTAAGTGCAGTGTTGTACCATACACCATTTCTGCTGCTGATGTGTTTATGTCTTCTTTAACAGAGGATCGAAGACCTAATAAAACTGAAGGTAATAATTGTATCCATGTGTGCTGAGCTCGTGCCATGAGTGCTGTCTTCAAAGTGCGATGAAATCGCTCAATTAACCCATTTGGTTCCGGGTGATACGACGATGTGCGTATTCTCTGTGTGCCTAAGCGGTTTGCTAACCCCTTGAACAATGCCGACTCAAATTGAGTACCCTGGTTAGTTGCTACTAGTTTGGGAAACTCAAATCGCGATATCCAAGTTGCAAAAAAATTCTCCACGACTGTGTCAACGGCGATGTCTTTCCATGGAGTGACCTCTGGCCATCGTGTGAATCTGTCTATCATAGTTAATGCATATCTATAACCATGGCACTCTGGAAGTATTTTTAAATCCAAATGCACATGATTGAATCGTTGATCTAATGGCATAAAAGCTTGTGGCGTGAGTTTATTGTATCTGTTTATTTTCGTTTGTTGACAATTTTGACACTATCGCACCCATTTCGCAACATCTTTGTTGCAAAAAAATCGCATAATTGTTTAGTTGTTGATATGACACCTACATGTGCTAAAGAGTGTACCGCATCAAATGCTTTCTTGCGCAATGATGACGGAATATACGGTCTGATGATACCTGTGAACACGTCACAAAATGTTGACAAGTAAGGCTGCAACGAAAGTTTCTGCAACTGAATTAACTGCTTCAAACCAATAACTGCTTCAGTTCTTCATCTATTATTTGGTACTTCCTAATCGTATCCATTTCTATGATTGTGGCCATGTTAATTGCATTCACTCGAGATAAACTATCTGCTACTACGTTGTCATTGCCAGCTATGTGTGTTATACTGGTTGTAAACTTTCCTATAAAACTTAGCTGTCGCTATTAACGAGCTGAAACTTTATCTGGTTTTTGCTGGAAAGCATATATTAGCGGTTTGTGATCCGTGCGAATGGTAAATGTCTGCCGTCTAATAAATGTTTGAAATTTTTGATATCTAGATAAACGGCTAGTAATTCTCTGTCGAAAGTGCTGTAGTTTTTTTGTGCTGCTTTAAGCTTCGATGAAAAAAATGCAACTGGACGCCAAACATCGCTTTCTTGTTGTTCTATTACTGCACCGACTGCATTTCTAGACACATCTGATGTCAATCAAATTGTACTTGAGGGTGAAAGAAATGTTAATTTAGATAGCGCAGTTACGCTTTTCTTACAGCTTTCGAATGCCATCTCTAACATAGGGTTCCATGTTATTGGTGTTTTGTCATTCTTTTTTGAGTTTTTTAACAGTTCATTTAGCGAAGCTTGCAACTTAACTGCTTGCGGAATGTACTTGCGGTAATAATTAAGAATTCCTAGAAAACGGCGAATTTCTTTGATTGTTTTTGGTTTCGCATATTCCTCGATTGCTCTCACTCGTTCTGTAGGTGGGCTGATTCCTTCGGCTGATATGTCGTACCCTAAAAAGTATGCTCTGTGGATTTCGATTTTTGAGAACAATTTGCTGGCATGTAGTTTGTCCGTCTTTTGGTCTAAGTATGATATCGGATACCGGTCTGGTTTCATCGGGCGTTTAGCTTCCTGAAATCACCGCAGGCGCTCCAGGTGCCTGTCTTCTTTTTGACTAGGTGGATTGGACTAGGTGGATTGCTAACGGCGTGACCTTTCATGTACCGGCTGACCATCGGCGACTATCTAATGATAGACTAAAGAGGTGTCAGGGAGGTTGTAGGTGTTTGCTCCACCCACATCGACATACTTGCTGATGATCACAAAGAATTTGAAGTTTGGATGTAATGTGTACACGGACTGCGTTAATGTAGTCTTTACTACGCCAGTTGAGGATAATTTCGTCAGTGGATCTAATAAGCACTTTGATTTCATATCTGGAATTAGACCGTATTTGGCTAAAAAATCTGCGTCCAGAATTGGTGACGTAACCTCTGCTATGATGAAGGTCCATGTAAAGTTGCACGTAAACCAAGATCAAGACTAAGTTTTTTGATACCGTACGTCTTAATGTGTGAATTGTTCGCTGCGAAAGTTTTAGATCATCTGGACTTAAATTGCGTCTGCTTGGGATTGCTGTTAACGGAATGATTGATACTGCTGAACCGGTGTCAATTAGGAAGTGCATGTTTGAAATACTATCGACAATGTGCAAACGAGCTTTTTTTGTGCAGTTTTGCCGCACGTTGCCGTTTACTGCACTTATTGACGGCAACGGTTTTAGTTTCAGTTTTTTAGTTCTAGTTTTAGTTTCCTTTTGTTTAACATTGGCTGCCTGACTACCAAATTCGCATGGTTTGACGCAAGAATGTCGGTAAATTTGTTATTTTAACTGCATCGATGTCCGTTTTTACCGTGGCTAAAGTTGCGTCCATGGATACTGACTTATCTGCTGCCTCTTTCTTCGAATTCTCTATCGTATTTATTAAGCGGTTGTCGGGGTCACCAAATGTGTGGCTAGTTTGCGACACAATGTTTATTTCTTACGGCTAATGAATTATTTTCAAACTTAATGTTAATTATTTACACGATATTGAAAAATGAATTAAAATAAAATGTGTTTTTTGTTCTTTACAAATGGTGGTTGTTAACACGTGGCGCGACGTTGAAACAAACTTCTTGTCTACAAAAAGGGCACAACATATATATTTATAATCTGCACTTCAATTATTGATATTCTGTTTGTACAAAATTAAGGATTATGATTATGATTAACGGATTTAATATAACTTGACTTCGCAAAAAAAATGTACTGCATTCGTAATAATGTATCACTGTAAAAATACCTGTTGTTTTGGTACTTCTCCAGGTGATCACTTTACTGATTATTGAGCACCTTTAATTTTCTGATACTCCTCTATATGTATTTCTAATTCCGTTGAGCACGTCAAGAAGAAAACTGCAATAG